ACATTCTTGTGATTCTGATGAGTGCTCAGTGATGCCATACATAAGATAAATATACAGTTGAGTGAGTAGGGAGAAAGGTTAAGCATCTTAGGGTCTAGTGGAGAGAGGGTGACTAACTCCATCCTGTCTTTGTTCTACATCTGATAAGCAGATTTATGACCAGTCCCTGTCAGTGAAATATTTAACAAACTCCAGTTACACAGGCAAGAGGTCAGCTTTATTTTATAGGCCTGGGTTTTATTACCCATATGCCCAACTGCAGCCATTGTGGGCCCATGTTAATATTTTCCTTGAATTTTCCTTTTTCTAACAGCAGGATAACGTCAGTCATTCTCCTCCAAACCCTAAGATGAGTATATATTCCTTTACTTGTTACTCTGTCCCTATATATGTTAACCGCACATTTGGTTTGTCTGTGTATAACATCATTAAACATCAGTCAAAATTGTAAAAATGTCACTTTTGCTTCACTGTCCCCTTCTTTGAATTTTTTTTTTTTTTTTTTTTTTTTTTTGGGTTTGGTCTGTATGTAACATCATTAAACATCAGTCAAAATTGTAAAAATGTCACTTTTGCTTCACTGTCCCCTTCTTTGAATTTTTTTTTTTTTTTTTTTTTTTTTTTTTGAGAGGGAGTCTGCTGTCACTCCCAAGCTGGAGTGTAGTGGCCCGATTTCCCGGCTCACTGTAAGCTCCTCCTCCCGGGTTCACGCCATTCTCCTGCCTCAACCTCCCGAGTAGCTGGGACTACAGGTGCCCGCCATCACGCCTGGCTAATTTTTTTGTAATTTTTTTTAGTAGAGACAGGGTTTCACCGTGTTAGCCAGGATGGTCTCGATCTCCTGACCTCGTGATCCACCCGCCTCGGCCTTCCAAAGTGCTGGGATTACAGGCGTGAGCCACCGCTCCAGCCCTGTGATTTTTTATTTAGAAAAAACATGTAAATACCATGCCTCCTGTAACCCATTCCGGGACACACTCTCAGTTTGCGCTGTTTGTGTTCCAGGCTACGGTTCTCAAATTTGGTTTGGGACAAAATTATTTTTGATTTCTTTAAGTCCATAGTGCCTATTATTTTAATCTTTTCGGTTGACACACTGGGGAAACATGGGCCCACTATGACTGCTTTGTCTCTCCTGACCTGGAAAATCAGTGTCAGTGCAGACTGCCTGAGACCTTCGCTAGACCCAGATTGCCCACCTCCAACAGTCACCCCAGTTTCTCAGTAGAAACTATGGGAAGAGTGCAGCTGGTGAAACCACCTTTACAAAAATCATAACAGTGAAAGAAGTCTGATGTAACCAACTCCATCTTTTTTTTTTTTTTCCCCCGGAGATGGAGTCTTGCTCTGTTGCCCAGGCTACAGTGCAGTGGTACAATCTCGGCTCATTGCAAACTCTGCCTCCCAGGGTCAAGCGATTCTCCTGCCTCAGCCGCCTGAGTATCTAGGATTACAGGCGTGCACCACTATGCCTGGCTAAGTTTTGTATTTTTTAGTAGAGATGGGTTTTCACCATGTTGGCCAGGCTGGTCTCGAACTCCTGACCTCAAGTGATCCACCCACCTTGGCCTCCCAAAGTGCTGGGATTACAGGCGTGAGCCACCATATCCGGCTACCAACTCGATCTTGCTTCTAACCTCCTAGCTTCCTTTGCTTATTTCTGGGCGTATGCCGAGCAAACCATGGGAGGAATTTAGTTTGTAGTTTAACTTTAAGACAAACATGACAACAGCCCCTTCATGAAGCAAACCGCCTCCTTGCTTGGGGGTCAGACCTCCTTTGTAAAAGTAACAACTTAGCCACAGTATTAGAAATTATGGCTCAGGAGTCATATAGCCAGAGGCCACAAGATCCTAACCTCCTCAGTTGCTCCTGTAGATAACATTATTATTGTAAAATCTAAGATTGCTGTATTTTTCAGACTCTGTATTCTGAATGGATCAGCTGGCGTCACCGAGATTGGTAAACTGGCCCCCTCTCAGGAACTGATTCAGTGAAAGAAGACAAGCTCCGACTCGCTATGATTTTATCTCTGACCCAACTAATCAGCATTCCCCTGCTGCCCAAATGTTGCAGGACTTTTCTTTAGTTCAGCTAAAGACAGCGTTCTTTGTCCCACGGCCATGAAAATTCAGGCTCGCAGACAATTGGAATGGTGAGTAAGACAGGGTTTTATTGGGTGAAAAAGGAAGAAAAGGGGAATTCTTGCTAGGCCAGGGTCCCTGCCAGAGCACTTGCCGCCCAGGCCTTCAAATCCCAGGTTCCTCCCAGGAAGAGATGGGGCCATGGTTCTCCTTGCTGCGAATGGCACTAACTTCCCAAGGTTCCACCACAGTGCGCATTCGTCCCCGTGAGCAGGCTGGCTGGAGAATGTGTGGGGACCATCTTTCACCTGGCTGTCTCACAACTATCCTTGAAAAACCCTAGCCTCTGAATTTTCGGGGAGGCTGATTAGAGTAATAACAAAGTTCCAGTCTTCCATTTAGTTGGCTCTGCATTTACTAAACTCTTTACTGCAATAACACTGTCTCAGTAAATCAGCTTTTCTGGGCAGGGTCAAGATGAACCCATTAGGCAATTATGCTGGTGCTGGGAGCTGCACCTCTGTCCCATCTTTTCTATAAGCTCTGTCACAAAGAAGCTAATACTTTTAGAATATGTACCTCAAGTTAGCCTCTGAGGGTTGAAAATGAATGACTTTTAAGCCAAACAAATTATAAGCACCCACAACCAACTGAGTGGACTACTGGGATTAAAGGTGTGAGCCACAGTGCCCAGCCTCACCTGGATAACTTTTTTTAAAACATTTTTTGTAGAAATGGAGCTTTACTATGTTGGCCAGGCTTGGCATATATTATTTTATAAATTGTATATACATATGTATAATTGTATGTACTAGTAATGAACTATCAGAAATTGACATTTTAAAAAGCAATACAATTTACAAGAGTAATTAAATATAAAATACTTAGGAATAAAATATGTCCAAGACTTATACACTGAAAAAAAATGCTAAGAAGAATGAAAGGAAATCTAAATACATCGAGACATTTCATATTTGTGCGTGAACAGACTCAGTGTTGTTAAGATACTAGTTATCCCTAAATTGATTTATAGATTCAATCTAATTACAATAAAAATCCCAACAGGGTTGGTTATTTTTTAAAGAAATTGACATACTAATTCCAGAATTCATGTGCAAATCCAAAGACCGCATGCCCAAAACACATTTGGGAAAAACAAAGTTGGAAGACTCATTCTGCCCGACTTATTTATATTTTATTGTATTTATTATAAAACTGCTATAATTAAGACAGTGTCATACTGGCATTAAGAAATTTTAAAAAATAGATCTATAGAGCAGGAGTACAGAGATAGAAGCACATACATATTGTTAATTGACTGTTGCCAAAGCTTCAAGGGCAATTCAGTGGAGAAAGGTAGTTTTCTCAACAAACTTTAGAAAAATCACAACAATTTTTTTTTTTTTTTTTTTTTTTTTTTGAGATGGAGTCTCTTGCCCGGGCTGGAGTGCAGTGGTACGATCTTGGCTCACTGCAACTTCCCCCTCCTTGGTTTCAAGCGATACTTCTGCCTCAGCCTCCCAAGTAGCTGGGACTACAGGTGCGCACCACCATGTCCTGCTAATTAAAAAAAGATTTTTGATCCCTACATTGCTCTACATATAAAAATGAACCTCAGGTAGATCATAGACCTACCAATAAAACTCACAACTTTGAAACTTTTATAATAAAATATTTGTCAACTTGTGTTGGGGAAAAATTTCTTAGATACAACACTGAAAGTATGACTCACAAAAGAAAAACACAATTAAAAGAACTTCATCAAATTTAAGAAACCTCTGCCTTGGTAAAGACACTGTAAGAGACAAGCTACACACTGGGAGATAATCATCTTCAGAGATGGCTTTGCCTCCCAGGGGACATTTGGCAGTGTCTAGGGACATTTTTGATGTCACAGTTGGGTAGAAAGGGCATATTACTACTGACATCTAGTGAGTAAAGGCCGGGGTGCCACTCAGTATTCTACAATACACAGGACAGCCCTCCACAGCAGGGATGACTACAGTAAACAGCCACATGGATAAACTTATCACTTGCCTACTTAAGGCACTAGCCAATCAGTTTCCATCACCACCTGCTAACATGAGCCGTCTCCTTCTTCCCAAAGCCTTGAGGTAGGGACAATGCCTGGAGTCAAACTTGGATGTGATAGACGCCAAATCCTGCCCAGTGCCAAAGGTATCACATGGGGCAGGAAGGGCACTGCTTTCAAAGGCCGGAAAGTAAGGTTGCTCCTTAAAGAGCTCAAATTCTGACTTCATCTCATATTTGGACTCTTTGTGGTCTAGGTGGCGGCCAGGGTGGTCTTCTATGGTTGGCTCAAGCCTGAGCATTGAATCTTCTGAAATATCACCTCCCTGAACTGGTGAGCAGTTGCCTCCCTCGGTGATTTGTGTCCTGCTTAACCCATCTCTTTTACTGTCCTAGTGACGGACCTAGAGGGACAGACACTGAAGGAGAAATGGTGGGTGAGGGAAGGTGTTGTAGCAGGAGATCACCGGTAGGTGAAGAAACCAGAGACAACATCCTGTAGGAAACGCAGGGGGTTCCCAGAGGCAGTCAGCAGCAGGGACATAGGGACACTTTACATTCTGTGTGCAACTGCTCAGATTTCTCCAGGTTAACACTTAGGAGCAAATGAAACAAAGACTCACTTCACTCCCTGCTCCCCTCTACTCCCCCCACACCTTATCCTTCCTTTTCACGGAACACATACTGCACTGTCTTTTTTTTTTTTTTTTTTTTTTTTTTTTTTTTTTTTTTTGGCCAGGCAGTTCTGTTCTTTTGACAGCGCCAAATGCTTAAGTCTGGTTTCACGGATCAGTCATGGCCCAAGGTTAGTAAGAGAAGACCAACAATGTTGCTTGAGCAGGATTCAATTTCTTTTTTTTTTTTTTTTTTTTTTTTTTTTTTTTTTGCAGTGGGCAAAGTTCTGTTCTTTTGACAGTAGCCAAATGCTTAAGTCCCTGGTTTCTTGGGATCAATCATGGCCCAAGGTTAGTAAGAAGGCCAACAATGTTGTGAGCAGGATTCAATTTCTACAGGGTCATGGGGCATCATCCACCATGTGAAGGGGCTCCAGCAGGTTGGACATGATCAATACCCATCCAGATTAGGATCCTGATGCCCTCGCCAGAGCTCGGGCTCGGGCAGCTTTGGCCTCGTCTTCTAGCTCATCTAGGAAACGCTCCTGGGAGATCGAGTAGATAGTGTAACCATAAATAGCTAACACCAGGGCCCCGACGCCTAGGCCGGTCACGATGTTCCGGGTCCGCCGCTGCGGTAGGACCTTCTGCCACTGGGCAAGCTGCGCCCGCCGCATGGAATACGATTGCTCGGGTGTCAGCTTCTCCCGCGTCGGGTGGATACGCTGAGCGAAAGGGGCCTCTCCACGCTTAGCATCCAGAGGGTCACCAGCTCCCGAAGCCGCCATGTTCCACATACTGCACTTTCAAAGTTATTTCAAGGTTCCAGCTCAAATGTCATTTCTTAGGCAAGGTCTTATCAGCTCCCTTTCAAACAGAAGTTGGGAGTACATCTCTTAGTGGTCTGAGTGTTGGATTGAATTAAGAGCTCCCTGCGGGTAGGCTGTGAATCATTCATTCAGTGATTCCATTCCCCCAGCCCAGCCAGGCAGTGAGAAAAATCACATGTTGGGTTTGACATTAGGTCAACCCCCTAGTGAAGACAAACTGATTAATTATTACTGATGTAGAAACAGAAGACCCTTGCAGCAGTGGGATTTAAACCCACGCCCCCAAAGAGACTGGAGCCTAAATTCAGTGCCTTAGACCCTTCAACCACACTACCAAACTGCTGAGACTAATTGGCCACACCGCTAAACCATCTTGTCCTTTTCCAGCGATGTCTTCTGGAAAGGATGATATAACCAGAAAGAGCAGGCTCCTATTCCAGCTGTCACCGCTCTTTCATTTTGTGCTTTGGCACTCTCCTTCGTAAACTGTCTCTGGAGTACCGTTTTCTCTGCTTCTCAGTCCGTGTGGTGGACTATGATTGATGTTATAGCTCCCACAACTGCCATTTCCTTTCTAGCATTGGTAGGCTAATTTAGACCACTCCTTCTTGAAATAAAAATTATTAAAAATATTGCATAAGATTTTTACCAAATCTCAGCTGGGTGCAGTGGCTCACGCCTGTAATCCCAGCACGCTTGGGAAGCCTAGACAGGGGGACTGCTAGAGTCCAGTTCAAGACTTCCTGGGCAACATGGTGAAATCCCATCTCTAAACATAAATAAATAAAATAAATAAATCTTTTTTTTTTTTTTTTTTTGAGACGGAGTCTCGCTCTGTTGCCCAGGCTGGAGTGCAGTGGCATGATCTCGGCTCACTGCAAGCTCTGCCTCCAGGGTTCACGCCCTTCTCCTGCCTCAGCCTCCCGAGTAGCTGGGACTACAGGCACCCACCACCACGCCCGGCTAGTTTTTTGTATTTTTTAGTAGAGACGGGGTTTTACCGTGTTAGCCAGGATGATCCCTATACCCTGACCTCGTGATCCGCCCGCTTTGGTCTCCCAAAATGATAAGTAAGTACTTTTACCAAATCTCCTTAGAAGCATTAAAGTGCTGATATGGGAGTAAGCAACTAATAGGCCAGAAACCAAGGGAAAGGTGGAATTCAGAGCGTTAAGGGAAATTATCTGGGCATTGACCTTTGTAGCCCTAAAGGCATTTGTAATAGGCCAGGAGCGGTGGTTCATACCTGTAATCCCAGAATTTTGGGAGGCCCAGGTGGGTTGGATCACCTGAGGTCAGGAATTTGAGACCAGCCTGGCCAACATGGTGAAAACGCGTCTCTACTAAAAATACAAAAATCAGCCGGGTGTGGTGGCACGCACTTGTAATCCTAGCTACTCAGGAGGTTACGGCAGGAGAATTGCTTGAACCTGGGAGGTGGAGGTTGCAGTGAGCCACAATTGCACCACTACACTTCAACCACGGCAAAAGAGTGAGACTGTATGGCGGAAGAAAAAAATTTAAAAAAAGCCGGCACAGTGGCTCACCCCTGTAATCCCAGCACTTTGGGAGGCCGAGACGGGCGGATCACGAGGTCAGGAGATCGAGACCATCCTGGCTAACACGGTGAAACCCCGTCTGTACTAAAAATACAAAAAAATTAGCAGGGCGTGGTGGCGGGCGCCTGTAGTCTCAGGTACCCGGGAGGTTGAGGCAGTAGAACGGCGTGAACCCCAGAGGTGGAGCTTGCAGTGAGCCAAGATAGTGCCACTGCACTACAGCCTGGGCGACAGAGGGAGACTGTCTCAAAAAACAAACAAACAAAAACACACACATATATATATATATACACATACACATACACACACATATATATAAGGAAGACAAGGTATGAAGCTCTAATAGATGTTTAATTTCAGTTCCAAAAAGAGAGAAAAAAATAGAGTAAAAACAATATAGGAGGCTGGCTGGTCTGAGTGCAGTGGTGTTTACAACTAATTGATCACAATCAGTTACAGGTCTTTCTGTTCCTTCTCCACTCCCACTACTTCACTTGACTAGCCTAAAATATATATATACACACACACATATATATATGTATATATAATATAGGAGAAGATAATGGCTACTATTAGGTAAAATGTATCCCCCCTAAATTTATATGTTGAAGCCCTAATCCCTAGTATCCCAGAATGTAACTGTATTTGGAGATAAGGCGTTTAAAGAGGAGATTAAGTTAAAATGAGGCCATTAGGGTGGGCCTGACTAGTGTCCCTATAAGGGGAGTAAATTTAGACACAAAGAGAGGCACTAAGGGTGTAGACCTACAGAGGGACTGCCATGTGAGGCGGCAGCAAGAGGCCAGCCATCTCTAAGTGAAGGAGAGAGGCCTCAGAAGGAACAAAACCTGCCAACACCTTGGTCTTGGATTTTTGACCTCCAGGACTGTGAGGAAATGAATTTCAGTTGTTTAAGTCGCCCAGTCTGTGTTATTTCATTATGGAAGCCCTAGCAAACTAATACAATGACTGAGAATTTTCCAGAGCTAAAGAAAAACAGTAGTATATGGATTTACGAAAACCCATATCCAAAAACTTGACACTGATAATGTATTTGGAAAAACGTGGGTTTTCCCTATGGTATCCTGTACTGCTATTTTATGTTTCCAAACGGAAAGCTTCCTGGGCGATGCATCTGATTGGTGGAGCCCAGGTCACAAGCCCATTCTCAGTTGCAAGCTGGGAAAGCAAGTGTGCTAGGACAGACTTACTTATAATATGTGAAATATCCACATGTAAGGAGAATTTTTAAGGGATGTTGGACACACACTAATGTAACATACGCCTGTAACAGGGCTCTTCAAAGCTTACGTTCTAGTCTCGGCTGTTTTCTCTGTATTCTTTTCCTTCAAGAGTGCATGACTCGTAGAGTCTCTAACTCAATGGATGACTTATGTAATTTGATTAATTCACCTATCAATTCATGAAACTCTAGACGCAAGAGTATTCTGGCTATCACACCATTCCCGTGAACTGCTCCATCTTCACTTAATATTCAGCTTACCTAAATCCTAGCATCACCCCTCCGCCCTCTCCAGATACCCTGAAGAGGTAGGCTTCCTTTTTTTCTGTAAGTATTAACCTTGCCTCTTAAAGACACCTTTGAGAGTCCCCTCTCTTTCCTCTTGATTGCACTTCATATCTAGGTTCAGCAGAATCGCCCTTCCCTGTATCTCTCTCACTCATCCCTTCCTTTCTAGTCCCATAAGGATTACCCTTTTGCAGCTTTATGTTTGAGCATCTGCACCATGGCCAGTCACTGGTGTTTCTGACTCTGGTTGCTCGTCCCTTCAATTCATTCCGTAAACTCATCAATGTTTGGTGAATTTCTATTTTCTTCTACAAATCTTCTCACCTGCTGCCCCAGCCAGTGTTCCCTTGAATGTCTCAGTCTTTTTCTCGGACTTTGCTCGTAATTTTATTCTACCAGGGACCACCCTGCTCCAATTTTTGTCTAAGTCTTAACCTCCCTTCGTAGTGCAGCTCAGGTCATTGCTCTCTTGGACACCCCTCCGGATGGTTCACTTTGTAAATGTGTGGACCTTGACATGGCTACCGTTCCTTCACACCTGGCACAGCTACTTTTCATTGTTTTCCTTCATGAAAATTAAAGTTCTTTTGTTCCACAAGCCTGTGACAGTGACTTCAGGATAAAGATCGTATCTGGATCCCTAGTTCTTAGTGCAGAGCCTAGCACAGACTGGACTGCAGTGTTTGCTGAATGAAGAAATGAATTAAACTGCAAATTAACAAATGCCTGCTCTGGCACTGAGACTCGCAACTGTGAGTCTCAGCGGGAGACTCACAAGCAGGAAACAAAATGCGGCTGTCAGCAGTTTCAAGTGAGACCTGTGGTGAGCTCCTTCCTCTGCCGGTTTTCCTTTCTTAATTTTCAGTCTGAAGTGGGCAAGTGAAGAGTCTTTCTGTGTTAGACTGTGTCGCGTTGGGCAGATTTCTCCAGTCTTAGGATAGTAGTGGTCCCTGTCACTGGCCTTCACTTTGCACCATCCCCAGCAAGAACAAAGTCTGTGAACTGAAGTCTAATGGTTGGGAAGTGGATTGAGACGACATCCAGGTTTTACTTAGTTTCTATGCTCAGATGTTAGCAGAAGCCCTGAAAATCTTTTCCTTTTCTATGAAATGCAGACATACTCCTTCCGTGAGGCCCTATAGCTCAGGGGTTAGAGCACTGGTCTTGTAAACCAGGGGTCGCGAGTTCAAATCTCGCTGGGGCCTTTGGAGTTTAATTTCTTGATTCGGGTTTTACTTAAATTCCCCTCCTAGTCTTTCTGAACTGACCCTGAGAATACGTGGCATATTATAACTTCTTGCCGCCGTTCAGAGGTTCCAAATAAACACCAGCTGAGCAGAACGTTTCCTTTAGGTTCCAGTAGTAATGCTGCTTTACCTCCTGGAATGCGGCGGAATCCATTACACAAGCGGTGGAAATCGTCGTCAGCCTCTGCCAATGCCCTGGCTTGCGGACTGGCGGCGAGAGCCCTGCTCGCTGCCGGGAGGGAAATGGGGACAGCTAGGCGAGACAATGGCCCCTTAAGCTATTCTCAAGCCCCGGGTCTGGGCATATTTGGAGTAGAGATCAAGGTTCCCCTTCTGAAACAGGAAGAGCCAGCGATGACCGCTCTTGCCAGGTGTCCAGAAGATAGATGCACACTGTGCGGCAAGGTGTCATGTGCCAGTGGGGTTTTGGGAAATTAAGGGCCCGACTTTAGCGGCGAGACTTGGGTCACTAAACTTGATTTTGAAGCAGAGAAATGTGGCTTTCCTTTTGAATAAGCTGAAAATATTTTCTCCAAAAACGAATTCACACGGAAACACTGGGTTTGCCCAGATGTCCTCTATTTCAGGGGTTCCCAACCCTTGGGCTGCGCACCGGTCCATGGC